TCATTCACCCATCATTTAGGCTTCCATATAGTTCACGTTTTGGTCTCCTTTTGCATATTCACTCTCTCTTTTTAGTCTCATTTTCCTTTCTTTTTAGACTTAGGTTGCATTTAGGTTGTAGTTTGCATTCTCTATGCATTAAGGAGGTTTTTAGGTACTTAAGAAGCCATTGGGAGCAAGGAGGAAGTGTGGGAATGGTTCAAGAAGTTAACCAAGCTGAGAAGGAGCAAAAGGAGCTAAGAAAGGCAATTTTTGGCTTTCCATCGATCACAGAACAAAACCCATCGGTTGTTCTAATCGATACAAGGCAGCAGAGGAATTGAAGATCCTATCGATCACCCTTATTGGTCAAGCAGTGACCAATGGGAATCAAGCGGATGCTCCATCGGTCACATGTATCTGTTAAGACTGACCGATGGGATCCAGTAGAAGTCTATCGATCAAGCCTATCGGTCAAGGAGTGACCGATGTGAACCCAGCAAATGCTCCATCGATCACTCCTATCGATCACTTGGACCGATACAAATCCAGACTGAAGACCATTTATTTACAATTTTTCCATTTTTGCTTAGACCCATATAAATACGAAAAATCCCTAATTTTTGGAACATCTCTTTATCCAGCAGTTTCTTCTTCGTTAGTTTCTTAATCTTAATTTGTAGCTTGAATCTTTGGTTTATTTCAATATAAGTTTGCATTTATCTTCTTGATTTTCCTTTCTAATCATGATTAGCTATATCTTTCTCTTTGAATTGATGGTGATTACGGAGTAGTCTTTTTAGGGAATTGAGATGGTTAGGTTTAGAGGATTCTATGCTTAATCTAGGATGCCTTAGTGTTAATTCTTTCGTTTCCTTTCTTGATTGCTGTGTTTAATACCTGATTAGCCTTAGCTAAGTTGATTAGGATCTTAGGCTCATTTTATGCCCACCAAGTGTTTGATGAAATGCATGAACTGCTTTGCAAGAGAATTGCTTTTCTAGCTCAAGAGATTGACTGTCTAGGGAGTGATTTGGCATTATAGGATTGATAGATTATCTTAATGCTTGCTGTTTATCATTTCATTAATGAGAATTAGTTCTTGATTTGGTAATTAGTAAAGAGATTAGTGCCAAGAGACCAGATTAGTCTTATAAATGAATTATATGCATAAGGAATAGCATTGTGCAGTTTGTAAGCATCATAGGTTGAGTTAAGAGTTCCCTAGCACCAATTATCTCATCTCAAGTCCTATCTTTTCTCTGTTTTTAGTTCATTTCGAAATTGCTCTGTTTTTGCCTTTGTCTTAGTTGATTTGCTTGCTATCCTCTCCTTGTTTGATGTTTTCTGTAAGTTTGTTTGATCCTTTAGGTTGTTAGACATCTAAACCCTTTTATATCTGCTTGAATTAAGAGCTCTATTGCATTCTTACTGCTTCAATCTTCCCCTTTTGGATTGAAATAAAATCCTTACTACAATGACTAGTACAAAGGGTGATTGAGAAAGAGACTCAAAACTCTTGTATCATTCTTCCAGCTGATGACAGATCAGTGACAGTTCAGGGAATCGGGACAATCGGAATCAACGCAAACATAGCATTTGTCAAACAGCTCATCAACGTCAGGTATGTTCCAAACCTAAAATGTAATCTAATCTCTGTTTCTACTCTTAACTTGCAGAGATTCAAGTATGATGGAGGAAATGCCAAGACCAGATTCTTCAAGAATGGCAAGTTGACTCTTCAGGGTACTCTAAAAGGGAGTTTGTATTAGCTTGATGGAGAGACAGTGGTTGGGGGTTAGTTTGCTGCTGTGTCAAAGGACGGCACAGCCATATGGCATAGTAGGTTGGGTCATACGAGTATGAGGAATCTGAAGGTTCTGGTTGCTAAAGGAATTCTCGACTAAAAGAAGATTAGTGCTATGGAGTTTTGTGAGAGCTGTGTCATGGAAAAGAACAAGAGGCCAAGTTTCAGTGTTGGAAAGCACAACAGTGAGGATGTTATGTTAGGAAGCTTCAAGTACATTCACGCTGATCTATGGGGCTCTCCGAATGTTCAGTATTCACTAGCGAAGAAGCAATACTTCTTGTCGATCATATATGATCATTCCAGAAAAATCTGGATTTATTTCTTGGCCACTAAAGACGAGGCTTTCAGCAAGTTTTGTGAATGGAAGATGTTGGTGGAAAATCAAGTGAATAAGAAGGTCAAATGTTTGAGGACAGATAACAGTTTGGAGTTCTGCAACATAGCATTTGATGATTTCTGCAAGAATAATGGTATTGAAAGACATAGAACCTATACATACACTCCACAACAAATTGGAGTAGCTGAGCGTATGAACATGACTATTATGGAGAAAGTGAGGTGTCTCTTAAGCGAGTCGGGTCTACAAGAGAAGTTCTGGGCAGAAGTTGCAGCAACTTCAGTTTAGATCATCAACATGACACCTTCATCAGCGAATGACTTCAACATTCCAGAAGAGATTTAGTTAAGCACAGTACCCGATTATTCACACATGAGGAGGTTTGGTTCAATTGTCTATGTTCATACTGATCAAGGAAAATTGAAGCCGAGAATTTTGAAAGGAGTTTTCATTGGATATCCATTGGGTGAGAAAGGGTACAAAGTATGGCTCATTGAAGAAAGGAAATGTGTTGTCAGCAGAAATGCTGTTTTCACTGAAGATAAAGTTTACAAAGACTTATCTCAAGGGACAATATCAGAGCAAATTCAAGAGGAGCCAGTTGCTAAAGGAAAAAATGTTGTAGAGATTAAGGCTGTCATGGATAAGCCTGAAAGTTCAGGATCGAATGAAGAAGCTCGGAGTGAAGATGGAGTTGTAGAGGAGGTTTCAGAGAGTGAGGAGGAATCAAAAGAAGACTCGGAAGATGAGACAGATGATTTGAGAGATTTTCAGTTGGGTAGAGACAGGGTAGGCAGAGATGAGATCAGACTTCCTTCAAGGTACAAAGATGGTGCTCAGATTGGGAAGAAGAAACCAGTAAAGTACAGAGATGATACTAAAGTTGCGTTTGATCTATCAGTTGTAGAAGAGATAGAGTCTGAAGAACCGAAAGATTTCTATGAAGCTCAAAGGAGCAAAGACTGTGATAAATGGAAAGGTGCTTGTGATGAAGAGATGAACTCTCTGCATAAAAATAGAACATGAAATCAGGTAATAGGCTGCAAATGGGTTTTAAAGCTCAAGCCTGGAATTCCTGGAGTTGAGGAGCCTCGATATAAGGCTAGATTAGTTGCTAAAGGCTACTCACAGAAGGAAGGAGTTGATTATCAAGAGATTTTCTCTCCACTGGTGAAGCACGTCTCTATCAATTCATGTTATCAGTTGTGGTTAACTTCGACATGAAGTTGGAGCACCTAGATGTGAAAACTGATTTTCTTCATGGCAATATAGAAGAAGACATATATATGGACCTGCCAGAAGGATATGAAGTTAAAGGGAAGAAAGACAAGGTCTGTCACTTACAAAAGTCCTTTTACAGACTAAAACAAGCCCTGCAGCAGTATAACAAATGCTTTGATCAGTTCATGATCAAGCATGGATTTGTGAAGAGTGAATATGACTTGTGTGTCTACATGAAGAAGCTAAAGGACGAGGTATATATATCTACTTACTCTTATATGTAGATGATATGCTGATTGCATCTAAGAGTATGGTAGATATTGATAAGCTTAAGAAGTTGTTAAGTAGTGAGTTTGAAATGAAGGATTTCAGTGAAGAGAATCTTAGGAATGGATATAGAAAGAGATCGTGTAGGTGGAGTTCTTACATTGTCTCAGTGTTTCGTATGGATGAAGCAAAATCTGTTTCTACTCCTATTGGTGCTCATTTCAAGTTAGCTTCGGTTAATGACGAAAAAGATGCAGAGACAGGGGAGTATTCGTACTGTACTGCAGTTGGTAGCATAATGTATGCTGTGATTGGTACTAGCCTGGCATTGCGTATGCTGTGGGTTTAGTGAGCAGATTCATGAGTAATCCGGCTCAAGTTCACTGGTCTGCAGTTCAGTGGGTATTGAAGTATATGAAAGGTTCTCAGAACAAGTGTTTGCTGTTCGAGAAGAGTTCAGATGGGTTCAGAGTTGAGGGTTATTCGGATTCAGATTTTGCAGGGGACTTAGATAAGAGAAAGTCCACGACAGGGTATGTGTTTACTGCAGGAGGAAACACAATAAGCTGGAAATCAGGTTTAAACCAAATTGTGGCTCTTTCGACAATATAAGCTGAGTACATTGCTTTGGTGGAAGAAATTAAAGAAGGTATTTGGTTGAGAGGTTTGGCAGAAGAGTTGGATTTTAAGCAAGAAGAGGTTCACTGTGATTCACATAGTGGGATATGTTTGGCAAAGAACAACGTGTTTCATGAGAGGACGAAGAATGTAGCAGTGAAGATGAGCTTTGTGCGAGAAACGATTGAATTGGGAGATGTAAATATTCAGAAGGTTCATACATCAAAGAATCCGGCTGATATGCTTACTAAGGTGATTCTAGTTCAGAAGTTTGAGCAAGCTTTGGCTCTGCTCAAAGTAGCCAAGTTCTAAGGTGATGGCTACGCTTGATGGCTCAAGGAACAAGCTGGAATGTTGCTGTCAAGGTGGAGATTTGTTTAACCTAAGGTGACAGCTATATTTGGTTATTTGGGTTAAAACCGTCTTGGTTTAACTTAATTTGTGTTCAGGTTAAATCAGAGAGAGCGGGTGGTTATTGTGTCTGGTTTATTTACCTTTGAACTGGTCATTTCAATTTATAAGAGATGAGCTGAGAGTTTGTTAGAGTAGATTCACGGAAACAGAAATTAGAGAGAGCGAGTGAGAGAGAGAGTATTCTTGAGTGATTCGTGAGCTGATCTGATCTATCTTGTACTTGTACTATTTGATTTAGTGGATTTTTGCTTGTGCCGTCAAGGCCCAGATGTAGAGTTCTCATCTCAGAGACTCGAACTAGGTTACCAAAGTGCTTGTGTCATCTTCTTCCTAATCGATCTTCTCCATCTTTTTCCTCTATCAAGTTTCTGTAATTCGAGCTGAGTAGAGGTGTATCGTTAAGCAGGATTCGAGTTTTGGGCATAACAGTATTGTTATGTTTTTGTTAATTAACTTATAAAAAAATACTCTCTCTAGTCTTTCTCTACATGACAAAACAAGAATTAGGATTCTCGTCGCTAAACATAATGGTATAAGAGTCATCCACGGTTGTCTCGTTGACGGAGGCCGTGTGGGGGATTTTCCGAACCATGTTCGGTGGTGCCTTCTTGTCATATGCTTCAGATATGTACGTATTCGCCACCATTGTGTACGGAACGTACGGCCATAGCTCAACTTTCTTCCTCGTCGACTTGGCCACCTCCAGAACCTTCTTTGGATCCACGTATCCCATCACCGTTACTTTCTGCAGCTTCACGTCCACATCTACCGACTTTACCCCTACACAAAATGATTTCAATAAGAAAATAATAATAAAGGTTCGGATATCCAAACCGAAATTGCAGAACCTAGTTAAAAAAAAAGGTAACCTAGCATTGCGAATCCAATGCAAATTTCTAATTAGCAAAAACAAATTAGAGATCGTAGTATAGAAAATTTTCCAAATTATTTTTATTTTGGGAATTAATTAAAGAAAGTCATATTTTTCATGAGTTTCAACAAGACCAACTTTTTAAAAAAAAAATCAAAGATCTAAACTCAAAGTAATGCCGAAACTTATAGAAAACCAAATTTTCTTGTCATTTAATATCGAAAATTTGTGGATAGAACTTCATATGTGGTTTCGCACAACAGGCCAAATCTCCAATCATTGGATCACAATGGTTGGTTAAATATTGTTTTCATAATTATATAGAAAGGAAATACGCGTATGCTTCTACATGTTGGACACATATATGTAAATACATACCTTTGACTCCAGAAAGGATATGTTTGATCTTACGTTCACAACCTTCGCAATCGATACAAGCAACTCGGAGAGCTACTGTCTGCATTTGTTTCTTCTTCTTCCTCTTCCTCTTCTTTAAAAACTCCGATATGTACTCCATTGATCCTTCCACACCCATTTTCACTATCACGGATCCTTTTTGTAGCTTTATTATGTTTTTTCCAGAAAACTAAGAGGAGAGCGGTAAAGTGAAGAAGAAAGGTTCTCTGTCTGTGGTACCATATAAAGTAGTGCATGGGTACTCACCTTATTTTAATTTATCTACAGTGAATATGTTTTATATAATAAAACCGATGTGACGACGAGAGATTGTTTATTTAAATTTCTTTAGTGTGTAAACAAAAATAGGATTACATTATTGCCTCTGAAAAGGAAAAAAAGATTAGTAATGTGGAAATTGAAATTAACATTCAGAAATTTATGTGTTTTGTAAGGAAAAAAACTTTAGGAGAGTTTAGATTCTCTCGAATAGATTGACTGTATAGACAAGTACTAACTGAAATAAGCACTTGATATTAATCGGGTGAATCAAACGGTTACAAGAATTCTTCTGAAAGAGATGAAATGAAAAGAGCTCGACGAGCAGTTACAAGAGTTTTTGTGTATCAGAAAGTGTAGAAGATAATCAAGCCGAAGGTGTAGAAGAAGGAGCCCCTAAAACTTGGCAGTTTGTGTCCTTTATATAGCTCGTCTCGTCGAGCTTCAACCTCAAGTGCGTATCTCGGCCACGTGCAGCAGCTTCTGCCAGAAATCTCGGCCACGTGCAACAGCTTCTACCGAAAATCTCGGGCTCGTTTAAACTGGTGAAAATATGCTTCGACTTGGTCCAGATCAATCCTAGTTTCTCAGGATTTTGTCGAGCTGGAGCTTGATTTGGTCCTCGTCGAACGGAACGCTGATGTTCAGGATTGGATCGTTGAAAGGGATTAGACCTGGGCCGTATGAGTGAAGCCCAGTCAACTGAACTTAGTTTTAGGATATTGTTGTGGCCTTAAGTGGGCTGGATCTAGTGTGACAAAACAAGGTCCAACAATTGCCCCCCAGCCCATTAGCGAGAACGAGTTCGAGCTTTAATGGGTGGTGAGTTGTTTCTTTCTAGAAGATTTCATATCTCGCGTGCTATCGTCATGATGGTAAGTAATCATTCACGATCAATGGTTGAGGCTACGAAAGATGAAGGATCCATCAGATCATACGGGCGAGGTCGATCTTCAAGATTGTAGTTTGAATGACGAGTCTGTCAGCTGTCATTCTTTGTTTCGAACTTATCTTAGCCCGAAAGTGACACACGATCCAAGTGGGGGATCTGTGATGGCTGATGGAACTAGAACCGCTGGCTGTTCAACTCTCTCGGTTCAAGTCAAGTGATGGATGGTGGAAGGCTGTGGAGAGTATGGAACAAAACAAAGGGCTGTTCAACTCACTTTGCAAGGTCAGAAGATGATAAACGGATTGATGAATGATGGATCGAAGAACGCCACTCAAGAGTGTGAAAGTCCTTGTGATGAGTTCACAAATCTAGTCTCAAAAAAACACATACAAGAGACATAGATCCAACAGTTAACTAAATAAAGAAATTCATTCTACTTAGATAAACAAAACAAAGCATAAGCTTTAGAGAGAATTCTCTTTTATTTCCAAAAAACTGTATATTCTTTACAATGAAAAATAAATGATTTATATCATCGGATGATTGCTTCTCCAAATCTCCGGAAGATAGACGTGAGTAATGGAATGTAATATTGTGTCCTTCTCTTCCTTCCTTTTATGACCATGCACGTGTATAGGGATGTCAATTTGGGCAAAAGCCCGAAGCCCGGCCCGACCCGGCCCTGAAAAATACCGGGTTTCGACTTTGATATAAAAGTCCAAAAAAATCGGACTTTTTGGGCAAAACTCATTCGGGCTAAAGCCCATTTGGCCTTAAGCCTGATTGGTCTCGGGCTTATCCGAAAAGCCCTGTATTTTATATTATAATTTTATTTAGAAATTTTTATTAATAAATTATCTTTACAATTTTTAAAAATTAGAGTTATTAATTTTTTTTATAATACTCTTTATTAATATAAATCTTTAATTTTTAGTTGTGTGCCTTCATATAACATCAATGCTCAAACTAAAATAGTTTCAAGAAGCACTTCTATCTTCATCCTGAAGATTCTCATCTCGATTCTGCCGTTTCCACTATTTATATTACTTATTTATTTAATTATATTTGATGTTAGAATTTATATAAATTTATAAGTTAAAGTTTTGCTTTCAGATTTGATAAAACAATATTTATGATTGTTTTTAAAATTTATTTTATTTATTTAGAAAGCTCGAAAAAGCCCGAAAAAACTCGATAACCCTGTTAGGGCCGGGTCGGGCTTCAAAATATAGGCCCGATAAATTATCGGGCCGGGCCGGGCCAGGCTCAAATATGTGCGGGCTTTATGGGTTTCGGGCCGGGTCGGGCCGGGCCAGCCCGTTTGACATGCCTACACGTGTAAAAGCATACACCACTCTTCTACGTCTTATTAGAAAACGAATCATCTCCTTGCGAAGTATGAATGCTCTTTTGGTGGACAGCGCGAACACTTTGGAAAATAATAACCATATATGCAGATTGTGGCGTCTTGGTAGGTGTAGTATTGTGTAGCTCAAGGACTTGATTTTTAGGATTGTATCAGAAAGGGCTCTATTTTGGAAGAATTCAGGCGTTGGTGCCTTTGAATTATTTCCACACCTTGCTTTCGGTTGTTCGAGTTGAACTTTTACGTAGTCATTTGTTGAGTAAGGAGAGTTGGACTTAAGTCATCGAGCTTACAGCTCGACTCTTTGGTCGTAAGCTCGTCAGATCAGATGAAACGATCTGGTAGCGGAGGGCCATCCGTTCCTTCTTGGAAATACAACTAAGTGTTTTAGCTGGATTTCAGACTTAGTTGATGTTTTCTTCATAGATGAAGGAAGGTCGAACTGCTTTGTGATGAGGTTTTAGTATTCGAAGTAGAGTTTGCTTTCCGTCGAACTAGAACTTTCTCAGTTTTGGCTTTTGAATGGAGAAGGGGATCAGGCTTTACTCTTATCTTCCAGAGATAGAGCTCTGGAGCTTGACTATACTTGGAATTGTAAACCGCGGTGGACTTTTAGTTCGAGGTCCGGGGCTTGACTATGCTTGGAATTGAGTTGTAACCCCGATCGCGCCTGTTGAGGTGGATTCGAGATCCTGACTTAGTTAGTTTGCGAAATGAGGAAGGTACCTTGTGTTTTTTGGGAAAGACATCTAGGATAGGTGGCTCCCCCTTCCCTCCTCCCCCCTCCCCCCCCCCCCCCCCCAAAGGAGTGAGTTACGCGTGGGCTGTAGCTCGCTTGTTCCCGGGGTGTGGGAGGGTGTGAGTGCTCTTCAAGGTCGAGCAATAGAGCTCGAGTTTGGAGTTTGATTTGTTATATTTCAGCTTATAAATGTATGACAAGGGTGGTCCGAACTGATTTAGTTCAAAATTTTGAAGCATTTCCTAAGCTGAGCGACGTGGTCAGTTTCCTTTGAGGACTTGACCAACATGTCGTTGATGTAGACTTCCATAGTTTTACCGACCTGGTTAGCAAACATTTTGTTCAATAGCCGTTGATAGGTTGTTCTTGTGTTTTTCAGGCCGAAAGACATTACTTTGTAGCAGTAGGTACCTTGATCGGTAATGAAAGGTGTTTTCTCTTGGTCTTCTGGGTTTATCTTGATTTGATTATATCCAGAGAAGGCGTCCATGCAGGACGGAAGCTGGTGGGCTGCTGTAGCTTTGACCAGGCAGTCGATGTATGGAAGTTGAAAGCTGTCTTTCGGACAAGCTTTTTTTAGGTCGGTGAAGACAACGCAGACTCTCCACTTTCCATTTTTCTTTTTGACGACCAGGGGGTTTGCGAGCCAGTCGGGGTATTTAACCTCCCTGATTGATCCCACTTTGAATAGTCTGTCTACCTCGTCAGTTACTGCTTTAGCTCGATCTGGACCAAACTTGCGACGTTTCTGTCTGGTGTGTTTGATAGTTGGGTCGATGTTGAGTTCGTGTGCGGCGACCTCTGTATCGATGCCTGGCATGTCCGCAGTGGACCATGCGAATGTGCTTATGTTTTCTTTTAGGAAATCGATTAGCTCGTCGCGAATTGTCTTCGCGAGATCGACCATGATGCCAACACACCTTTCGGGGTTGGCCTCGTCTATGCATACTTGCTCGATTAATTCTATTCAAGGTTCGCAGACAGAAGGGTCTTTGTTGTGTTTGACTTGTGGGATTGCGAGCTTCTACTCTTCCTGTAATTGCTATACAGGAGCTTTCTCGGCTCGCAAGAAGCTGCCCATGTAGCAATCTCTCGAGGCTTATTGGGAGGCGCATATCGTTTTGGTTCCCCAAGGAGTTGGGAACTTGACGCGTTGGTGGTATGTGGAAGCTACAGCTTTCATTATGTAGAGCCACAGTCTGCCAAGTATGGCGTTAAATGGAGCTGGGCGATCTACGACCACAAAGTCAATTGTTTTTATGAGCCCACCAACTTTGACTGGGAGCTGGATGGTTCCTAACGAGTAGGTGGTTTCTCCGGTGAAGCCACTGAGTGGAGTTCGATCGTTCGACATCATAAAATGTTTGGTATCCCATACGTCTGAAAGCGTCGAGAAACAGCACGTCTACCGAGCTACTGGTGTCGATCATGACTCTTGTGAGGTCGAAACCACCTACAGCGATCTCGATGACAAGTGCGTCATCGTGTGGTTTTCCAGAGATAGCGTTTCGCTTTCTAAAAAGCTTATTTGGTGGTTGGGTCCTTGTAGAGGTAGGTTCACGGTGGTGGACTCGACCTTGCGTTGATATCGAATTGATTGAATCTCGACACATATTTGAGCCTCCACAGATGAAGTTGATTCACTTCAATGTGGATAGCTCCCTCTCTCCTCCCCCCCACCCCCCCCCCCCCCCCCCCCCCCCCCCCCCCGACGAGCCGGAGCTCGACGTTTTCCTTGGTGCGGGGGGGGGGGGGGGGGGGTGCGTACATCAGGTCGATTCTTATTCTTGCTGAGGGAGAAGAATTATGGAGTTTGGACTTCGACTTCTACTTCGCGATCTCGCTTTTGAGATTCTTTGTCGAGGTTCTCCTCCTTGATTTTTGTTGAAGTCTTTTTCGGCTTATCGATTTTTCCCTCGGCCTTCTCGGCTTTTTCCTTGACGAGCTTTCGTGCCATATTTTTACTCTAGTT